TAAGACTCTGTACTCCTTGAGCACTTAACTCGTTCACCAGTAACATGTCAATAGTAATTTCTATTCTATCTGCCTCATAGGGTGCAAGTCTTTTGAAAGAAAGCACACATTTTACTGCTGACTTGTTGTGACTTACTTGCCCTCTGTTTCTAACATCTAATTGGGTGCCTGGCACCTTATAGATACTTAATATTTTTAAAATAAATGTAAGACACAAATGAGCTGAGGTTGAATGCTGTTTCTAGACCTTTGACATATAAGGAAGTAATATTAGTGGATGGGAAGGAATTTTTACTAAAGATACACAGAGCCATGTGCATAGCTTCTAACACTGAAAAGATCCAACAGTTGAACTTCTTGATGAAGGATGTTGGAATTTAAGTTGTGATTGAGAAAGAGAATGATGAAAAACAATCCTATTCTGTTTCCTAGGTCTGCTGAAAAATTTAGAGCTCAAGTACTGTAATTATATGCAAGTTAACAAAAACTGATGTTTCTTCCTGGCTGGGATATGTGGTTGTCAATAGGCACTGTCTGAAACCTATAAACCTTGTTTGCACAGTTCTGGATGGATAAAATTGATTTAACTTTTGTTACTCAGAACTTAAGATTTCCACTTTTTGAGCTAATGCTGTTGCTTTCTAACTTATGAAAACAGCAGGGGTTTCAGTTACAGTACTGATAGTATTAAGAAAAAAAAGGCATCAATCTTAGGGTTGCCCGATTTAGCAAATAAAAATATAGGAGAAGCAATATTTGGGACATACTTAAAGTAAAATATCATTTATTGTCTGAAGTTCAGATTTAATTGAGTGTTCTCAGTATTTTATCTGGCATCAATGTTAACCCTGTTAAAATGGAGGCTGTCTTATTTGTGTTTTGTTTTTGAACAGCCACCTAGCTAAGCCTTAAGAAATTTAGGCAATTTTCTCTTTCATTTATTGCTTGCCTAATTAGCAAATAGACTTGGAAATATTGTTTAATTGCTTAAGAGAAGATTTTCTGATTCTTTGACACACTAAAATTTCTGACTTTGGGGGTAGGCAGAATACAGAAAACAAAGGACAGTCTAAATATAAATAGGAAAAAAGGTGAACATTTATAAATACAAGGTTGCCATTTATATCACACTGTAAGCAGACTCCATTGTACTAGGCAGATGGCATAGTTGCATAGTAAAGTTACATAGTAAAGATTTCATCATCATTAGAAATGCATTTAATAAAACAGTAAGGAGGATATAAAAATTGAGACAACAGGGCACTATTCATTCTCAATAATCTTTAAGAATACAAAGGAGTTTTTGTTTCAGGGTTAAAACCAAATAGCCAAAGGATAGAGCTTTCTTCTCTAATAGTTGTAATTTGCAATAGTAGGAACCCACTGCCATTCTAGAAAGGCATAAGCAAAAGTAACTGGTTTTCTTCTCAATATATTAAGTACCGTATTGTCCTATGAAGCAATTTTCTCAACATTTACAGTTTAAGGTAAAATTTAGTAAGAATGAAAATAGAAAAAAAGCCAATCAGAGTATTTGAAGGAGCTATATTTAGTTCCAATTAGACATTTAAAGCTTTATTGTATTAATATTTACTACCAAGGGACCAAAAGCATAAAAAATTGATATAATTATGGTTATTCAAGAGTATAAAAGTCTTTACATTTATATTCTATCAAAAATGAAAGACTATGAAAGCAGCAAATTTGGAAATTGAGAAAATGCACGGTTCCCTTGCTTTGTTTTGTTTTTCTGCTTCCCCTTCGGAGAATGACTCTGTCCCTACCAGCTGTGCCCAGGCTACCGTTGATAATAATACCACACAACACAGGAATGATGGAACTGTGATGAAGAAGGTGTAAACGAAAAATAGAACATCCCTTCTGCAAATTGCTTCCGCTCTTTGCCACTTACCCTGCTCAGTGCTGGTTGAGGAATGGAGTACCAGAACTGACCAAGGCTGTATAAAGTGAAAGTAAAAAGAGAATACCTCTGACTTTTACCATTTAGCAAATGACATCCTTATACATTTTTCCTTCTCGGGGTACACTAAAATGTGACATTTTTCCTTGTTAAACACTGTTGTGTTCATTGGATTAATGCCTGAAACGAAGCAACAAAAGTGACTATTTGAATGTCAATTTAATATATCACATGCTGAAAGAATAAGCTTCTCTAATTTCTAGAACCTCTTATATTGCATATGATTTAGTTTCTTTTAAATACAGAACTCAAGTTGATATTAACATCTACTGATTGGACATTACAGGCATTTGTTGTATTTTAATTTTTATTCCTTTTGAGGTGAGGTGAGGATTCAACATGGTAATAACTAGAAAACTGTATTTTGTGAATCAGTGAATTTGATCATACTGGGGAATATTAAAAGCACATTAATTTGACTGTAAAACTACCAGCAGGGATCTTTGATTCCTCAAAAACATTTACTATCACCCCCTATCATGCATTCTGGGCAGGTGTTGTATAAAGCAATGTTCCTGAGACCAAAAGGAATAGTTACAGATGAGATGGATAGAGACAGAGACTGAATGTTTGTGTCCGTTCAAAAGTCATGTTGAAACCTGATCCCCATGTGCTGGTATTTGGAAGCCAATTAGCTCATGAGGGTGGAGCCCTCATGAACAGGATTAGTGCCCTTGTAAGAGACCACAGAGAGCTTCCACCGTGTAAGGACAGAGTGAGAGCCATCTGTGAACCAGGAATCCGGGCCTCACCATAAAACCAAACCTTCCAGTGCCTTGAACTTGGATCTCCCAGCCTCCAGAACTATGAGAAATAAATTTCTGTTGTTTATAAGCCACCCAATCCATGATATGCTATTATGTTTTAGAAATTACCAGCTGTGCCCAACCTGAGTAGACTGAATAGACTAGCATATATACTACGGTGTCACCCCTGAACAACTCAAGGGGTAAGGGTGCTGGCCCAACTGTGCAGTTGAAAATCTGAGTATAACTTTGACTCCTCAAAAACTTAACTGCTAATAGCCTACTGTTGATTTTATGGTAATAAATAATAAAACAGACTAGTATATACATGTATGTTATGCATTCATGACTACATAACCTTTTCCTTAATTTTGGTATTTCTAGGCTATGTGGTTCATCTGCAAGTTTTTTCAACTTGCCATAAATTTCAGAAAAAAATTCCAAATATTTATTGGAAAAAATCCACATATGAGTGGACCCACACAGTTCAAATCCATGTTGTTCAAGAGTCAGCTATATACACATGTTGTAAGGTGGGTATCTATATAGTATATAATTAATTAATATATGTGGTGGGTGGGTGTGGGTATGATTTTTTACCTCAAAGATCTTATGATTTATCCATGGAGATAAAACATTTTCACATGCAAACCAACTAAAAAATTAGGGCTGAGGGACAGCCCCTACTTCCCACAAAAAAGTAGTTCAGAAAATTAATGTTAAGGATTTCAGAAGAGATAAGAGATTGTATTCAGCTGTCATGGGATTTAAACTGGACACCAAAGGATATATCATAGAGATATTCACAAAAACAATTGAGTATGTTCTTATTTGCTTTATCTTGGCTTGACCTAGAAGGTAAAGCATTAACTCATTCATACTCTAATATTGGTAGAGCTTCATTCAGGAATTGAGCAAAGAAAAAAGAGTTCATGACTATGTGTTACCTATATTATTTCCCTTAATTTCATGTTTTAATTAAATTTTAGAAGACTAGCATTACAAATGAAGAGACTAAAGCCTGCAGAATTTAAATAACTTGCCCATAGTCAGATAGGAATCTTTGGCTCCAGAGCCAACTCTCTTTGGATATGGTATATATAAAGATCCTTGGGAATGAGGTGGAGTATTGAAAATGAGATGTCTTAGGATGTTTTCTCCATTAAACATGTCTAGTTCTGTGTCAAACACACAGCAGTCCATATCTGCTGGTAGTTGTCATGAATGGAAGTACTATTGGTATAGGTCTGAGAAATTTATATGCCTTAAGAAGTGAAAAAAAGGAAGAGCTAGAAAGGCAAATGGTTTCACTGTTTAAGTAATTTTTCTTTGTCAGACTAAATTGATGGTTTTAGAGGTATAATAATTTTTAATTTTTTATCTTTCCACTAAGTAATTAAATGAAATAGTTAAAAATATATATATGATTAATCATTAATATTTATTAAGTTGACTATGCTTCACTATTGTACTGCAAGATTGAGTTATTCTTCAAGACTGCAGACCCTGAATAGAATTACTCTACTGGACCCTTCAGTTATTGAATAATATTCAAATTTAGAATGATTGCAACAGCCAAAGCTACTGTCAAAATGTGAGATATCAGCTTCCTTCCCTGTTTGAGGATTACCTTATAACCCAAAGGGAACTAATGGAACTGAACAATGACTGTTGATTATTTCTAACCTTGATCACGATCTGAATTTGTTTTAAGCTCATGGTATCATGGAATCTCTAAAAAGCCTAAAGGTGGAGAATATGTGGGCAGTAGTCTTCAGTATGTAGTCACAGAAACTGAAATTCGTTAGGATAGGCATCAGGAAAAAGAAAGGAGTACATTGAACACAGCAGAAAGAATGTGGAGGATGAGGAGTTAACTGTACATTGATCCCCCAAAGAAGCAAATATTTTTAAAGCAAACCTATTGGTTTGCTACTATAATTTAAAGGATATTTCATTTTTATCTCTGGTTATTCTACCACAGGGTTCCTTCATCTCAGCACTGTGGACATTTGCAGCCAGATAACTGTCAGCGGGGCAGGAGTGTGGCAATGCTGTCCTGTGTATCATCACAGTCCTTAGTGGCATCCCCAGCCTGCACTCACTAGGTGCCAGGAGTACCTCCGCAAGACGTGACAACCAAAAGTGTCCCCGGAGATTATCCAATGTCCCTTAGGGAGAAAACCATGCCCAGTTGAGAACCACTGTTCTAGAACATTCTTCTGCCTGTTTTGCTCCTCTGTGCTGTGGGTTCTCCCACTTTCTTAACGGGTGTATTCCAGTTTACATCAATATTACTGTGTTATAATTTAAAACTGTCTTGTTTATTTTCCTTTTAAATCGCCATTGCCCAGAGTTGACTTAATCATTCATTGTGTTCATAACACAGCATTACCTTTGCTCCATAATCCCAGCGTTCGGTGTTATGTGTGTACTACTCCTCTCCTCCCCCATCTACTAACCCCCTCTTCCACTTCATACACAGCTGGCATGATGGGTTTGATGCAGATCCTTGTGTAATTGTTCTTGTAAGACATATATGGATGTTTTACATGCCCTGGTGCTTTTTCTACTGGTATTATGCCATTCACTTCATTCTGCTTCTCACTTTTTTTGCTCAGCACTATTTTTAAGGTCTTTGTGTACATCTGGTCAGATCTTCTACCTCTTAACATTCCCAGCAAATAGTTTACTGTTGAACAGGTGCTGAATAAATGTTCACATAATTAAGTACATAAACGAATAGATCAAATGGCAAATAGGTATAGTAGACGAATAGTGAATGCCCAGAGATGTTCATGTCCCAATCCCAGAACCTATAGACATGTTAGTTTATATAGCAAAAGAGATCTTGCAGATATGATTAAATTAATGATTTTTAGATAGGGTGATTATTTCAGATTATCCAGGTGGGCCTACTGTAATTACATGGGTCCTTATAAGAAGAAAATACAGTGCCAAAGTCAGAAAAAGGATAGGTGATGACGGAAGCAGAGGGTGAGTGATGTGCCGTGATAATGGAGTGAGGGGCAAGAAGCAAGGAAGGCGAGTGGCCTCCAGAAGCTAGGAGAGGCGAGGTGACGAATTCTCCCCTAGAGCTCGCACAGGGAAGGCAGTGCTGCCAACACGTTGGGTTAAGGGTTTCTGATCTCCAGGACTCTAAGATCATCTGTATTGTTTTAAGCCACTAAACTTGTGGTAATTTGTTAACAGCAGCAAAAGGAAAGTAATACGGTGGATGAGTTAATACGCGAATGAGTTTGTCAACCTTTCCAGCAGTTGAACATTTCTCTCCTCTCTCCTCCTTGTCTCTGCATCAAGTGCCTAATAATAATTAAAATGGAGAGAACTGCAAAATACAAAGGGACTCAGGTGAGTAATACTTTTAAGGGAAGACTTGTAAAGGGAAAACTGTGAGCTAAACAATCATCTGCAGTCTATCAAGTCAGCTTGTCTGCAGTGTGGGCTTACCGGTCTTCTCGGGAGGGGAGAGATTCAGAGTGGGAGGGACCAGCTCAGGGACTTGACTGCCTAGGGTGTATGGTTCCTTGGGGGCCATCTTTGGAGATTAGCTACTTTACTGGGTTTAAATTTTAAAGATGAGCAGATTAACATGATAGAGACTTCAAGCTTCATAATTGTGGTAGAGTGGTAGAGTGGTTTCTCTGGGTCTGGAACCAAAATTACAACACTTCACACATCGGATGGAATACAAAGTCAAAGACGTAAGACACAGATGTCTTATATGGAGCCCCCTTGCTTGCCCAGTTCAACCCCTAAGAAAGAAATGCATTCATGGAGATGCTTCAGGTTTTATCTAGCCTTGCATAATTCCAAATATATAGCTATTTTTTCCAACCATTTCTCAAGTTCTCCTGGTCAGAGAACACACAGTCACACTTGTGTCTATGTTTGCACACACAGGGAGCTGGTTTCCTGGAGAAGGAGAGAATTACTCTTTAGGAGGTAGAATGTCTTAGTTGTCCAGAGGCTTAGGTTCTGACACAGACTACCCAGTTCAAATTCTTCTTGAGCCACTTCCTAGCCATGACCTAGAATAAGCAGATAACTTTTCCATGCCTTTTGTTTCTTCAGCTCAAAAATTGGGCTAATATGAGCATTTACCACAGAGAACTGTTACAGGGAAGAAAGGAGATAATTTTGTAGATTTATGCAAAGTGCTTAGTTTAGTGACTGGCACAGAGAAAGCACCTCATGAATATTAGTTAGTAGTAGTACTAGTATTAGTAAACTCTGATGTTAAAGTGAAAACTAAGTTTAATTTTCCAGATAATTACTGCAGTTTTTTATTCTTCGTGGCAGAATAACCATTTCGGAGCTTAAAGACAGTTAAACCTGAGCAGGAACCGGAGATGCAGTTATTTTTCCAGCTCAGTATTGTGGCAGAGGCACCGGTGATCGGTAGCCCTTGTGGCATCAGTGATCTCTCGCCTTGCTGGGGTTAAGAGAGACAAACCGTTGCCTTCACAGGTGCTCTGAATCCAAACGTTTGTGACATTAAAACCAGCATCCATGTGTGAGCACAGACTAAAATGTGCTGTGTCACCAGCAAGCCCATACTTGCAGTCTCTTAAATCACCCAAATCATATTTCTTCACTCCTGCTTATGTGCAACCCAAGAAGCAGGGGTCTCTGCTCACTGTGATATTGTGATCCCCCAGACCCCAGAATGATAGAGCAGCCACCATCACAGATGTTCCCGGTCCCGGTGCCAGAGAGCGGGCAAGCGTGTAGTAGACAGTGCACTGACTCTTCAAGTGTCCACCAGGAGGGACATGTATCGCTTCCAGTTGTATTTCATTGGCCAGAAAAAGAAAAGTTATCTGGCCACTCCTAAGTGCAAATAGGATGGGAAGTCCAATTCTACCATTCTCAGAAGGGGGAAAGCCAGGAATATATGGGAATCAGCATCAATGAAAAACGTACCATGAAAGGCAATGCTGGACACTTTTAGAGATGCAGGAATAAACAAAACCTAGTACCCTTCTCAGGATCCTGGCAGTTGGGAAGGTAATCTGGGGCAGGTGCATGCATGACTTTAAAACAAACCAGCCGTTGTTATGATTTTACATGGGAAAAATAAACCAAAAACCAAAGTCATCTGTCGCAGGCATTCTCCACCAGGAGAAAATTTTCCCCCAGGGGATATTTCTAGTTGTCACATTTTAGCTACTGGCAATACCTAGTGAGGCCAGGGAGGCTGCTAAATACCCTACAAGTCACAGGACAGCTCCGCACAGAAAAGAATTATCTGGTCCCCAACGTCAATAGTGGTGAGGTAGAGAAACTGGATTATTATAATCTATACACTTTCTCACGCACACTCCTAAATCCACTGAAAAGAAATTTGAAGTATCTGCAATTGAGACTTTATATACAGATGTATAAATGCTCATGACAGGGAGCCCAAGGGTGCTCTACCACTGCACATTTCATGTTCAGGTGTCTGGTACTTGATTCAGAATACGGTGCATCCAGCTTGAGATCCACCTGAGAGAATCAACTGTATTTTCAATTGTTTTTCAAGAAGACTTGGGAAATCCAATTTTAAACATTGCTTTTCAAAACAGACAGTTCCACAAATTTATCTGCCAGTTTGATGAAGCAAAGTTTAGTCCCAATGGAAAATAAAAAGGTGGCATGACATAATTAGATGCTGACTATGGATAATAAGCTTTATATGAGGGCTTCAGTGAGCCCTTCTTGACAAGAGCACCTCTGTCTCAGAATAATCTACTGTGACCATAACCGGAGCAGACAGGAAATGATTGGATGGTAAGCGACCAAGGAAAGGGTTGTGTTAAAGCCTAGAGGTACTAAATGAGTTTGTGAGACAGGTTTGTCAGACACAGATGAATGCAGAAGCGAGAGGCATGTGGAAGGAATTCTTTATCCTGAAAGGTGGGAAGCTAATAAGTAAACTACACTGAAGGAATTTGACCTTCCAGCATCAACTTGTGTTTGAATTTGGGTTTAAAGTTAGTTCCTGTGTGGTAAGTTTTGTTTCCTAGCCTGAGCATCAAGCCTGGGGCTTGCAGAATGACTGGCTCCAGAGGAACAATGTGATGCCTGGAAAGAATATTTGTGGGTCCTTAATCTATGAATCAAAAGGCAAACTCTGCCCCCGCAGTTTGTTAATCCAGGTGGCTGAGAGGGAGCCAATATAATCACTTACAAGAATGCACCCAGTTTGGGCTCATTTTAAGAAAGCCTCAACTATGTTTGGAATGTACCAGATCAATAAACTGCTAATTTTTACATCTGTTAGCCCACTGATTCCTCAGTGGGTTGAAGCTTGTAGTACAAATACAGTCCAAGCAGTTTCTTAATTAGACAGGCTTCAACAGGTCAAAGGAGCATGCTTAGGCCCAGTTTGGAATTCTTTTATTTACTCAGTTCCTGCTGTCATGGGGAAATGCAATTGCTATGCAAATTCTTCAAAAAAAAATGGATCCCTCTCACACCTGACCTTGGTAAATACCAGCCATTTCTTCCTTTCATATTCTGGGCTCTGTTTATTAAGTAAATATCTTGTTCTAAGAGAATACAGGCTCCAGTCTTTAGGAGGGATGGATCATGAGACTTGCAACTAATTTTCAAATGGTTTTGCGCAAGTAATACATATAAAACTCTGCACACACATAAGAATAAAGCAAAAGTGGCCAAAAATTAACCTTTTGGCAAACTGAAGTAAAGAGTTGAGAGGAATTCACTGTACCACTCTTACAGGTATAAACTTTTTCAAATGAAAAAGTTAAACAAAAACATTTTATGTCATTACTTACACATTATTTTACGTTTTTTTTCTCACTGCGTCTTCACAGGGCAGGGAGAAAGAGAGCAAGTTCTCTGGGTCTCTTTTTATAAAGGCACCAATTCTATTATGAGGGTCCCCCCCATCATGCCCTCATCTAAACCTAATTACCTCTCAAAGGCCTAATCTCCAGATACCATCACATTGT